CGTGCGCCGGCCTGACGGCTCAACCGTTCCTGACATTTAACGCTCATCACGCAACTTAGGTACTGGAGCCTTTTACGGTCTAGTCAAACACCAAAGACATACCTCATGCTTTCTTGAAGGACGCGTATGTTCCTCCAGAGCCAAAGAGCAACCTGAGTGATGTGAACTGTTGTGACGTTCTAACTATGAACTCTCCACAGGTAATTTAAAATTAGGATGAAATCCTGCAATGTAGTGATCGTGAGCCCGGTGGGAATTCTGCATAAATCTGCACTCACAAAAGAGTCGGCAGTAAATTATAAGCATTTGTAAGGGCTACTTGTCCATGCAAGGGTTTATAGAATCATTAATGCTTACCTCTTTAGTCTAAATATATAGAATTAATTTTCCTACAGATTTTAAAACAATATCCTTATTAGTGTAAACCTGAATACTATATGTTAAAAAATAGGTTGAATAAACAAGAGAAAAAAGCAACTTTAAAGCTATAAAAAGAAGTTCAACCTCAGAAAAAATATCTCTATCCCTGTGATAACTACACATTAATTTTTATATCAAATATAATGAACTGTTTTAAAATATTATTCCTGGCAAGATCCTCTCATATATCAATCAATCTGGTAAAAGAAGCACATCTAGTGAAGATTCAACAGGCAATGTAAATCATTCACGCAGCACCTAAAGCAGACATTTTGCAGAAAAATTAGAAAAATGCACCCTAGAAAATAACAAAGTAAGTTTCCTCTGTGTATAGAACATCACAACAAAACCGGTAAGGATGGAAGAAAACGGGGAAAGAATTGCAGTAGCAACAGCAAAATTATTTCAGAGTTACTTAAAATAACTTCTGCACATCTTCAGGTGATTTTCTTTATCCTTACTGTGAAAGATCCCTGTACTCAGTGGAATTGAAGAAACAAAGGCATAAGACCCTAGGCCTTATAACTGAGAACAGTGTGCTTTTATTGGGAACACCATGGCAGTCTAGCTGGTGACAGCTGAGCCTGTGTGGAAATACAGGATATTCACTGAAAAAATAATCAAGACCATCTCCAAAAAGGTTATTTTTTTCCTGAGAAAATGAACCATGTCCTTCTGTTTCTAGCTTTCAAACCCCAGGCAATAGAGAGAAACAACCCTTTAAAATGCACTGTTTCGCTGCTGCAGCATCAGCACAGGGAACACAAACCCTAACAGATATTTCTTTTGGTGATGTTGATAAATGGTGAGAGCTAGCAAGAATATTTCGATTAAAAAAAAAGCAAACAAACAATTAATTACAAACTTGGTAAAAAAAAGTATTAACATATTCTATGTGTAATTATTTTTTGAAAACCCCTTTGAATCAGGATAGAATCTATCTTCACAAGCATTTCTGCACCTCTTTGTAATGGTCTTGCTAAGGCAGTAACATACACAGGGTGTTTCAGAAAGCAAAATCTGCTTGCTGAAACCTGTCAGATGACAATGCTGTGGTTTGCAATACCCATCACATACTCGAGGTGATAAGGTCTCATATTGAAAGAATCTCATACTGATTCAATACTTTTTTCCTGTGAGGGTCTATAGGAAAACATCTTGCTGTCCTTACTGCTGTACGCTTATGATCTTTGTGTGGTCTCTGGAGCTGGTGACCACAGCTAGACGTGCTCTGTTTAGGGGACAAAGGTCCCCTATGTAAACCACCTTGCTAGTGGCATATTTAACTCCAAATTTACACATGAAATGTCCTACAGGATCCTGGGAAGCTGCCTTGCCACTACAGACTGTCATTAAAGAAACTATAACAGAAAACAATTATGGTATTAGTTAAATATTTGGAAAAGATGCTTTTGTGCCTCTTACTGTTTCTGGTTATAATTCAAGACTTACATGTAGAATGGACACACCAGAATGCTATGTCCAGGAGTACATTTGGTATGTATGACACATTTTTCTGACAAAATATACAGCTGAAAATCTGGCAACTCACAGGGGAAGGACAAAGGTTTCCCTTGTTGAACTTCACGAGATTCCTTTCGGCCCATTTCTCCAGCCTTCCCAGGTTCCTCTGAAGGCAGCATAACCATCCAGGATGTCAGCCTCTCCTCCCAGTTTTGTATTGACTGCAGATTTGTGTAGGCTGCACTCTGTCTTGTCATACAGGTCGTTGATGAAGCTGTTAAACAGTACTGGCCCTAGTATGACACACTAGGGAGCTCTACTGTTCTGCCTGCAACTGGACTGTATGCAGCTGATCACAACCTTCTGGGACTGGTGGTTCAGCCAGTTTTCAACCCTGTGCATTTAACTAACACATCCTTCATTAGCTTGTCCATGGGATGTTACCCGAGATAATGTCAGAAGCCTTACTAAAGTTGAGAGGAACAACATCTGCCACTCCCCCTCACCCATCAAGCTAGTTGTCTCCTTGTAGGAGACTGTCAGGCTAATAAAGCATTTCCCCTTTGTTAATCAGTGCCGACTGCTCCCAAGCAGCTTGTCTTTAATGTATGGAGACAGTTTCCAGGACTATTCTCTCCATAAGCTTTGTAGGTTACAATGGAAACTACAATGAAGTACAAAGAGTACAGTTTGGTTTTGCATTTTTAAGAATATATTATAAATTCAAAAGCATCAGTTACACCTCTTAAAAAGAGTTGTAGCGTGTTAGACCAAAGGTGTAGCTAAACCAAAGAACTGGTCTCTGAAAATTTCAACAGTGAACACCCTTGAAAAAAGTGTAAAAATTTCTGGCTTCTCCAGAATACTCTTCCACTCTTCCACAATTTGCAAGTTCAGGACATCCTGTGCTAGAAAGGGTGTTTCTGGTTATTTTTTTTAAATACTATTTTTATTAATTTATTATATCAATATGTTATTACAAATTACATTATAATAACGATAATAAATTAAAACAAACATTAAATTATTAAAATGAATAAATAGCACATGAAATGATAATTATCTTATTTATTAGAATTATTATTTTTTAATATTGAAACTTATAAAATTTTTTTAGAAATGTCACAGAATTTTCTTCCATTTAATTTGTCTTTTAAGCCCATGTAAACTAACAACATCTACCCCCGTAGTAAGGAATTCCTCAGCATAACTGCATACTGTGTGAAGAACCATCTCCTATAACCAAAAGAAGCTAACTTGTTTGTATCTCATTGAAGATGGGCTGTGGCTCTCTCAGTTGCCCAGTGAACCTGCACCTTCCCCAGTGCCATCAGCAGAAGCTGTGTGGGCTGGTGAGCTGCAGCCTGTGGCTGGGAGCATCTGGGAGTCAGAAATGGCTGGCAGCATCTGGGAGTCAGACAGTGCCAGGGGAGTGTCTCTCAGCTGACAGCGCGTGACGGAGCGCAGGAGTGAGTCACGAGAACCCAGGGGGAAGCTGTACAAAAGCCTGAGAGCTGAACGGTATGATGCAGTGGTACCAGGCACCACACTAGCACACTCCCAGATGGACACTCAAGGTGTTGTTTTCTCTGCATCCCACTTACTACCAAATTTCTGTTGCAGTGCTGTTTGCTCTCCAGCTGCCTCTGGCACATACTCCGGACACTAGACTTTTCTCTGCTATTCCTCAAAACAAGACTGTCTTGATCAAAATTCCAAATTGGTATGTTTGTGTCTGTTCCAACCAGATACGAAAGATAGCTCTACTCATGGTAAATATGAGCAACTCGCACTAGAATTCCCAAAGGTGATTTATTTTTAATTCTCACCAAAATGTACACTTTTCTCACAAGTTAAGAAGTGTTGCAAACCCTTAGAACAGACTATAAATTAATGACCAGAAATAAAAAACGGAATAGTGGAGCCTAACCTGTGTTTGCCTTCCTCAGTAAAGTAATCTGTGTCCTTTAGATAGGGCCTCCTTTCCAGGAAATTCCACTTTGAAAGACCTTTACTAATCAAAGAACAATAAGGACTCTATACTACTAAACATATACATGCATATATTTTAAACTGTACCCATTTTAGAAGTACTGTTCATGAAAGCAATTCTCTTGTCTTCTTCAAATAAATTTTGATTTACTTTTAAAACTTCTTTTATTTTTTACTCTGTTGATACAGGAATCCAGAAATTGTGTATCTGTAAACTGATCACCACGCCTTAATTTACTGTAAACAAAAGAAATAAAAAGACATCATGGATGAATATCATGAAACATCTATGTAGACATAAACATTATGTAATTATAATAACAATTCCGAATGGTAAATACTCTCAGTGGAAGCTTGATGCACTAAAAAAATTAAATTTATGAAAAATACCTGTCTGAAAGAGCAAGGCAGAGGTAACTACTGCTTTCCAAAATAATACTAAAAATAGTAGTCTTGTTATGTTTGCTTGGTTAGGGTTTTTTTTCATATATCATATTAATATGTGAGCAATCATAACTCATTCCTATAAGACAAAACTCAAAAACTGTTAAAAAACCCAAAACTAAAATCTTAACAGCATCCACTCAGGACAGTACACTTGAAAATAAAATATCAAGAGGAGATGGGAATCTAAAATTTTGAATGACATCCAACACAAACATTTTTTTTTCCTGTTACTAGTTACTGTCTCTCTCCAGAAATACGGAACCTTATCATCGTGGAGTAAAAACCAAGAATGTGTCAATATTATAATACCACACCATTTTATCACCCAACTCAATTAAAGACAAACGTAACTCTAATCCCATTGCATTCCTTTTATAGGCTGTCTAGCATAAATATTTCTGAAAAGCCAGGCATAAAATGAAAAGACACTTCCTACATTACTTTTAGCTCCCATTTGTCCTCACTCTTCAATTGTTTGCTTATTTACAGAGGTAAACAAAATTATTTTGAGGCTGTATGAGAAGATTGAGCTAATTGGTTTCAGTTTGTGGATTTATTTTCTTCTTCTCCCACAGTTTTTCCAGAAAAGGAAAACATACTCCTCTTACACCTTTGTCATAATTGCTATTGTTCTTTCACTCTTAACACGATTATGGGGAAATCTTGTTACTTTCTTTACCTCATGAATATGCATCCTACTAATACGCACACAACACAGCATAATAAATTAACATTATACTTAAAGGAATCACCAACCAACAAACCAAACAAAAACCCTCGGCCAGCTCTGTGGCAAAACCTCTAGGAATATTTTCAAAAGTAATCAATGTAAAGGTCCATTGGAATTTAGATCTACTGATGTACGTGCAAATATATTAGTTTTCTTTATGGCAGTTTGGCTTCAAAATCTTCTTTTAAATTTTAATAGTTATTACACCATTTATGTCTTTTAACATTCTCAGAAATCCTCTGCCACTAAATTTGTCAAGAGAGGTAGATAACTAATTATCAAATTAATATATCTTAAACTGAAATATTTCTTGCATTAGATATTGCTACTTAAAGCAAAATTACTGAATTATATAATATTAGTGCATAAATTATCTTGCCACTTGACAAAACGACAAGGACATTATTATAGTATAAGCCTACAGTTAAGTAGAACATTTACAATTACCCACCTCAAAAGGGCTTTATAGCATGATAAACTTTAATTCACCATTATTCACTACTAGTGTACAATGTTATATTATATGGTATATTTAAGTTTTGAAACTTGAATACTATTGGTGTTTTACTTTGGCACTTGGAAATCCTGACCTGCTCACATGAAATGTTTTATATCAACACTGAAGTATCTTTGCAAAAGAGATTTGTGAAAGAGATACTTCACCTGTTTATTTGGGGGTTTTAATAGCAAATCTCTACTGGGGATAGTTACATACCTGAAAAAACCCCAAAGCCCTAATTTATGCATACCTACCTCTTCAGACTGGGCTCTCTGTAGCAAACAGTGGCTCTTCGTCTAGATGGTCCTGCGGAGTTTTCTTCTACAGCGTTGGGTGATTTAGGCAAGGAAATGTCAGATCGTATACTAACGTTTGTCAGATCTTGCAAAGCCTGTCTCCCTGTGAATACAGTAGTTTGTATGCTTCATTTAAATATTTTTGAATCATTAAATAGACTTTCAATTCATAATTATTTTTAATTAGTATTTCTTAATTCAGGTCCTTGGTTACTGCTCCTGCTCTAAAGACGTTCAGCAAAACCTGGGATAGATGATCAAAGAAAATGCCACTACAGCAGCTTTCAGTCTACCCAGGTTTGGAGCTGCTTGAGGTCTGCCATGGCTCTTGGCACATTTTAAGAAAGCCCTGCAAGTACTGCAATTTGCAGCTAGTTGCTTAAGAAGGAGAAGGGCATACATGTACAATCTGAAGATCCAACCCGTACAAGAGTTCTCTAGTACTGAATTTTCCTACTTTAAGCCTGCTTTTTAGGCATATGTGCACAAAATGAGCATAGCAAGGTGATTAAGTAAGCCTCCTTGTCTTCAAAACTGTGTACTACGAAACTACTTACAATGCCTTGTTATTTAATACAGACAGTAACCCAAGACCATACAATCTTAATCTGTATTCCTTAAAAGATCTTCCAGAAGTGTATATTCCTCACTGACACAGATTTACTGCATCCAGATGAGAACATTTGGAATGTAGTTCTTCAAAGGAACTCAGTTTAAAACTCACTTAACTTGTTGTGTTTGAACATTTTACTTTAAATCCTCAGTGGCAGCAAACGGATGTTATTGACCTCACATTCACACACATCTGGGATAAATGATGAACATTTTGTTGTGCCTATCTTCAGACTAATAAATTACATCACTGTATAGTTACATACCTGTCATAAAAGTACATCTCTTTATTATAGCATCTGAACACCTTGTACAGGCTAGCTCTTCTGCTGACTGCTTGCCTGATATAGAATGATGTCATCATTAACAGGCAGACCAGCAGCCAAACTCCTCCCTCCCCTCCCACATCACTCACCAGAGATCCAAAGTGCCAGCCAGCCAGAGGGAGGAACAAGTCAATGCACTCACCCACCACAGGGGATGTGAAGAAGGGAACAAGATGGGTGAGGAGCCAAGCCATGGGCAATGGGAGCAGCCAGGCCAGGAGCCCAGTTATAGAGCAGGGAATCAGACAGCCTCACGTTCTGGCACTGTCATCCTGGGAACTCCACATGCCATGAAGAGTCAGGGAGCTCTTCCAATAGCCAGAACGCCCACACAGCACACATACTGTAAGCAGGCCTCTCAAACCCCCCTGCAAGCAGAGTCAGCTCTTACAGAGGTGGCTTCTTGCCCCACCTCCAAGTTCATGTGGAAGGCAGGGGCAGCTGGTGGTGATCTCTGCATCGGTTCCCTCCCAAGGCTGCCAGACCCTGGGTGAAAACCAATCAGGAGGGGCTTTCTTGCCTGGTTGTGGACATCATCCATATGCCAACCCTCATTCAGGGCTGGGGGTTTAACCCCAGCACTTCACTAGTGTACACAGTATTAACTGTTGGTCAGGCTGATAGTGCTGAATTACTACTGCCCTGTAGTAGAATTCTGTGCTGAGACAAAGTAAAACATCTCATGGGCTAAGATTGATCACTTCATCAAGAGTCTTCCAAAATGTGTTAAGTGGAGACAAAGTCAGAGCTTCTTCACTGGAGTTCTGATAACCCTACTTCTGAGATACATACTAAGGTGACTTTGGGCTCCTTGCAGAAAGTCCCTCCTGATTTATAAGTAAGTAAAAGCACACTTGTTTGAAGGAGTTAATTTAAAAACAAAACAAAACAAAACAAAACCAACCAATGCTCTTTGGTTTAAATAAGAGATCTGAAAATCTCTGATCCTGAAAAACCTCCATAGCTTGGTTGCCTCACAAATCAATCTTGATTTGTACTAGTTTAAAAGTGAAAGTAAACTATTCTTCTGATCTTTTCTTAAAGCTTCAGGTTAGAGATCAGGTCAGCTTCTTTTTAAGGAATAAGAGTTCTGAGACATTGATGAGTCTGTATTATTTAGGAAAGCTGGATGCCTGTCAGTATGAACATTTATGTTCACATAGATCTAACTATATAGAGACTTTTATGACAGGATACTTTCAGGGTGTATATCTAAGTACAACTAAGGTTGTGATTAAAAGAGCTGGCATCATCAGAAAGGATGGCATTTCCTTGCTTTCTTCTAATTCAAGATACAGATTTGGATGTAGGATGAAAAATGAACTTATTTTTGAGCTATGCTTAAAAGAATGGAGATCAAATTATTAGCTTGTTTTTTATGTAAATAGTCTTTGATATTGCTGATCACAGTACCAGGGATAAATGAGGTTTTACTCATTTATCATTAAAGCTAATAAAACTATGGCATCCTTCTTATAGCTTCCAAAGAAGGAATTCAGGATGGGAAGACACAACTGCAAATGACTAGGTTTAATACCTCACACGATGGTCTAATTCTGCCAGTATTCCTATTCTCTGGTCACATGAACTAGGATATTTTTTCTTTTCTGTTCTAGCATTCAAATGAACCCAAGGCATTATTTGCTTGATAGTCTCAAACGATTAATTTGAGCTAGAAAACTATCTAAGCATTGGGACATTCTCACAGACAATAAAGTAAACTGGAACTTTTTGAGAATAAACATGTTTAAAAAATAGACTACTCATGCTACAAAACTTCAAAACTATATTTTAAAGCATATTTAAAGCCTAGGGTAGACACTTTAGTCATATATTCCTTTAGCTCCTTTACATTAATTTCATTGTCATTGTATGATACAGAAATCTAAGCCTATCTTCGAGGCTACACTAAACTTTATTTGCCTAATGCTCATGGATAGAATCTAGAGAAAACCTGCCCAAAGTACTTTTTTTAGATCTCAGAATTCCTTTTGAATTGCAGTGTTTCTAAAGAAATACAAGTGAAATCTTGAAGTCCAGCTATGTTCTCCATTTATGAATGCAACAGTGTAGTTCTCTCCTGTTTCCCTTGTATAAAAGCTATTGTATCTTTTCTATCACCAACTTTCTGAATTCTACTACGGTCTTTGAAAAATGAATACATGCTCCAATTATAATGGCTCCTCAAGAACGTAGATTACTTACCTCTGTCAAACTAAATGCCATCTTGGAATATATTGAAAAGTAATAAGGATATTAGCTACCACAATTTAAAATGGTCAAGTGACTGATATCTAATACAGAATATTGATAATTGTAGTGATTTTCAGTCTTACCTTCTTCCACTTCTGTTTTATCCACTCTAAGTAAGCAATAAGGGTAAGACAGTATTAAGAGAACATACCTTACCACTATTTCAGGCACTACCTAATTCAAAATCCTACTTTTTTTTTACTTCACATACACTTACCATGACAAGGTAGCAGAATCTTTTTGTAAGCCTCTTTAGAAGCAGGATCCAGCTTTTGTTCTGCTTTTGCAGCATCCAGTGTGTTATTATGATCATTTCCCCCCCAGATTTCAGAGTTTTTCAGAATAGAGAAGTTCATGGAAGCATTGTGGTTATCAAGAGCTGGGAGCTCAACACTGGCAAGACTTTCCTGGAAAAAGCAATCTACATTTAATGGCATGCTCTTAGCACATTCAAATTCTGATTTTTGAACCATAGGCTTTAACTTGCTCATAAAGTAATCTGTCTCAAAAGGGACTTCCTGGTCACTGAAAATATTACGCCCCCCCCTTGATCAATATGCCTAAAGTAATTTTTTTCTGGTCTGGTCTCAGTGGTATTAGAAGTACACCTCTGTTTACACTTTACCTGATTATCACGAGAATTACTGATGTGAGGAGTCTTATGTGTCACTGATGAAGAATCTACTTGCTTTAATGTATTAGCATTATCATCAACTTGTTCTTTCACTTGTGGTGTATTTGTAGCTACATCATTCTGAGTAACTAAAGCTACTTGGAATTGCCGAGTTTTAGTTATTTTATTTCCATGAACAGCCTCTACATGCAATGAATCCTTATTTTTTAATTCTTCATTTTTACAAAGTGAGAACTGTTTAAGATTTTCTTTTGGTATTATATATGCTTTCCGGCTAGCTTTTGCCAATGCATGTTTTAATCTGCCTGGTGAAAAATGGTTATTCTTTTGGTCCAATGGCTGAGTTTTCCTTTTATGAATGCCGTCACCTTCAGTTTCTCCACTTTGTCTGTAACTACTTTTTTTGCTGTATTTGCTCTTTATAATATTCTTCTGGACTTGTTCTCTCTTGCTGTCATGTTGGCATACCTCTGTTTGAGATTTTTTTGAAACACCTTCTCCACATTGCCCATTTTCCTGTCTACAGTATGTTGCTGTGTTCGTTTTAGAAAGGCTGTGAAAAGTTTTCCTGTTTATTTCTGGTCTGCTACATTTCCCATTTGTAGGTAGAGAGTCTCCTGGTAATGGTAATACATTAGAAGTGTTATCTTGCAACGGTAAATTTTCAGCACAAAAAACTTCTGGTGGGGTCTTGTTATTAGATGAGTTTGAGTCTGCTTTTTGTATTTTGTTTTCTGTGCCTTCAAATGTTTCTGAGAAAGTTTCTTTATTTTTCTCCTGTATTCTTGGACTCAATAAGTTAACCTGGTATGTCCTCCCAGTATCCTTAGCTTTACTTGGACAATTTTGTGCTTGACAGTATTTGCTGGTAGTTAGCAAAATCTGCTGACCTACAGAATTTCCTGTAGGTAGCTGTTCTGTCTGACTAGGGAGTAGTTGAGTTTGTGAGTCGGTAGTTTTTGAAACTTCACTACTGTCAGCCTTAGTATGCTTTTCTTCTGCATACAAATTTGAAGTGACTTCAGTCTTGCTTTTAATTTTCTCTTTATCCTTCTTAGAATATTTTACTTTTCTGAAATTTGCTAATATTTTATCAGAATTAGTGTTGCTGGTTTTACTTTGGTGTAATTTACCTTTGTCTTTCACTGTAACTGTGAGTAATTCACCTACATCACTGGCAGTCAGCTCCATATCAGCATCATAAATGGTTTCCTCAGGCTTCTTGTCAGCAAAAAGCGGCTTCTTAAAATCCATCTTATTTTCATTGCTAAATTTAAGAGGTGAAGCAACAATGCGAGACAAGTCACTTGAACTTTCCTGCAAATTCATGTCATTGGTGTTGCTGCTGCTGTTGATACCATGAGGCAGATCATTTGAGCTGCTTATTTTATCAAAATCCTTTATATTAGGTTGCGTTTTTGACTTAGAGAGTACTGTTTGTTTCTTTCTTTCAGTCACTTTTCCACAGAATGGCAATGAACTATCATTATATTGCTTTGTAAGCTCCTCAGACTGCCTTAAATGTGTATTTTTGACATGTGTCAGGGAGGAACTATTGCAAGTTAGTTCTGCGCATAATTGATTTTCTGCAAAGAGAAGAAATTCAGCAGCTTTGGGAAAGAAAGAATAGAGCACAGTTATCAGAGCAAGACAGATTACTGAAGGCTGGGCTAGAAGCTTGGAAAAAAATGCAGTTTGTAATTTAACTGAATACACACATTCTGTGGTTGGTCTTTAAAAATTTAGTTAACTACAACTAACTTTGCATTTTACAAAAGTTGGACTTTTGAAATTGAATGTAAATAAAAATTTATTTTTCTATAACTACTTCAGTTATTATTTAGTTATCAAAGTTTTATCCTGTTCACATTAACTTTGTTACATTTCAGCTATGTCATTTCATGACCATATAAGTGATTGTCAGGACACCTATACTTATGGGTAAGCATTCTATTTTTTCTTAGTTTATTACAGTTTAGGAATCTTACTATACCTTCTGTATCACACATCAACTAATGAATTATGAAACACTAATTCTCAGGAAGCTCCAAAAAATAAATAATCTGTACGGAAATGCATAGTACCTTTTAAAGATATATTTTTGTCAATGCTTGTTTCCACTGGGTCTATGTCAATTAACTTTGGATTATTTGTACCAGGAGACAATGGCAATGCACACTTGTCTTGATCTGAATGCACTTCCTCTGACAAAATACTGGTACGCCTGTAAGAATTTGGTATTTCACACACAGAAGGGCTGTCTTGCTGTTTTGCACTAGCTGTTGCAATTAAAGGAAGACTCACTGGGAGTTCTACAGATCTGAAAGGAGGAAATTTTACTGTGAAGATTTTTATTGCATTTTATACTGTAACATTCAACTGTTTAAAACATTCTCTTAATAATGTATGAAAGGAGAAAAGAATTCAGGTATGAAATCTGGTTCTATCTTAGGGACAAATGTATTTGATAATATTTATAATCATATGATTTGTATAAAATGTGATTGAGAATCCTGCTTTGTAGTGGTGAAATCCCATGAAGAAAGCAGCAAGTTATTCAAAAACAAGTTGCGTCACCACTCTCTCTGTATCTAAATTCCAAGTTGCAAACATGTAATTTCTGAATTAGAGAGGAAACTGTTTTTCATCACCTCAGAAGTACCTACAACAATATACAAAGAATAATTGTCAAAAAATCCCCAGACACTTACCAACTTTGGCATTTAGTGTAAGCACCTACCTAGCAGACTGATGTGTACTCTTGCACTGGTCATCAGGAGGGAGACTTGGACCAGCTGACAGAGGAAAGGAACTCAGAAGGTTCTTTCAAAAGAACAGTGGGAGAGTAGAAACAAATGAATATTCTCTTATGTTTTAAGTACTGGAAATAGCCACAGGGAAAAAAAAAGGGCAAAAACCAGAAGGACTGATGAAAGGTGCCTGATGTTCAAACACATACAATAATTTTAAATAAAAATATTTTGTAGTGAAGAAAATCTGTAACCTCCTTGCAGCCCAGAGAAATGTATAGACTTTTAAATGTAGCTATAACTAATGTGAAATGCATTATACATATAGAAGCATGAAGCAACACTAAGCAGCCGGTTAGAACAGACAATAAAAATAGTATTTTTTAAAAAATTAACTCTGACTTTGCCATGACACAAGGACTAACATGGACTTTGTTTTCTGGGAAAGTTTCCACATGCAAGATATGTACTGGAGGATTAAGCAAAGAAGACAAGTAGCTCACTCATTGGAGAAGAATACCACACACTGAAGTACTATGCTTTTTTAATTTTTTTAGTCACATGACTTCAACAGGTCTAACTGATATTTTTAGATACTTTATAAACAAGATTAAATCCTAAATTTTTAGTGCAAACAACAATAAAATCTAATGGATTTCATGGGGCTAGGGTTTCATTCCAAGTTTTAAGGAATTGGGGTAAATGTTTTAAAATGCATATATGATTTCAATGTTTGACTCATTCAGGTGCTTAGAAAACAACCTGGCAAAAGATCACACACACCTTCAACAAACACCTTACCTCAGAAAGACTGCTCATTTCTATTGCCGTGATGAGGTTATAACTCAAAAATGCTTCTAGTTCTATAAGAGTTTTATTCTGCACGTAAAACAAAAAGCAATTTTAAAAATACATTTCAAGTGGCTTCTGGCTTAAGAAAAGATGTTAAGGTGAATTTATAATTTTTTGTTTGTTTGCTTTTTAAACTCAGTTGAGCAAACCTGATTTTTAATACCATCTCAATATCGATACAGGTGAGGCTGACACTAAAATAGCTATGGATAGAAGTATACACTGACAGACAAAACAATAAGTACCAAAAAAAAACCATTAAAGAAAGATCAAAGGTGAATATCATGTTATCGGATAATAGAACTTCACAAATCTGAGATGCATACTTTAAATCCCCACTTTAAGAAGCAATATTAAGTTTCCAAAAAAGATAAAAGTTTGGTTTAGCTGATCCAAGGTTAAATGATGTTATTTGCAGCATACCAATGAGTTTAGCTTTTGACGAAGCAAGATATTATGAAGCTGCAGCTTTTCTACTTCCTTCTGAAGAAAAATCTTTTCATTCTTTAGCCTTCGAGAATTTTCTTTCTCCATATTCAAAGTCGCAGCTAATGCTTTATTATTTTGTATTAAAGATACTTTAAACATAGATGAGTTATCTAAAGGAGACAAAATCATTATTTTTAACAGCTTCAGTTCCAGGCCTGTTCTGCATGAACTATCACTATGCAACAACATTTTTCTGTAAGTTTTGGTGGAACAACAGCACAGCTTAACACCTTCTAATATCAAACTGTCATTTCTCTTGACTGTCATTCTGATGACTACTCTGTCAGCTTCGAGTTAATTTCATGCACTGATTCTGCTCTAGTCTGGATTTTTTAAAATAAATATCTTTTAAGAAGAAAGCATTTAAAAACTGATAGTTTTGTGGGCATGAAAATGTTGACAATTAAAAAAAAAAACAACACATTTTACAAATTAGAAAGTTCCAACATTTTGAGCATAAATGTGAGTTTTGACAACAGAAAGTAAAAAGCTTTAAATTAAAAATATACCTTCCACTGTCCTAATGAAAACCTGCTTATTCCTATCTGTTAGAGAATGTTTTAGAAACTTTTTTTCAGTGACACTGCATATTACCAAGATGGTCTTTTTTTCCCCCTCACATTCATAGGATACATAGACTTATCATGAACTCAAGGTAGAGAAAAGCCCAATCATACTTTTATATTACAAAAAGGAGCAAGGTTAGCTTGAAATCTCCTTCAACTATATCTCTTCACTAGGGTTATTACTTCTGCAATCTGTAGGCCAAAATTTGCAAGGCTTTATTTCTTTGCTTTGGAAACAGGCAATAACACTGGAACCTTGTTAATCCAAACATTATGCTTTGAAATTGCTATTCAGGTTAGGGAATTGTTTGTATTACTGCAGTGTGGAGACTTCTGAAGGACATTAGTATTATTCATCTATACCATCTATTTTTCCCTGAAATTTAGTATTTTTGAGGTAAAGCCACAGTAAGTTCAAATATATACAAACAACAAAAATTCTTGCCATACCAGCTGCAGAAAGAGAAGCACAAGTCAGCACTCACATAACCATGTGGCTTGAATTAGAGCTCTGAAATAGAGGTGTTTCACTACATTTATAGTTTCCCTACCTTCTGCAGAAGAGAATCTGAGATGCATAGTGGCATTTTTGTCAGAGGCAGAAACAAACCCCAGCCATCTACCATGACAAACCTATGCTTGAATTTAATACTGATTGTCTGGGAAAACAAAGTAACTTCTATCAAGTGATTAAATCAGCAGATTAATATTTGTAGTTTTCCTTGACTCAGTAAATGACTCAATGAAGAACTTCATACAAATTCCATCTTGCACATGGTGATACTCTGTGCTTTACTATGGCAATTGTATTTGTAAAGATTGTTGATTTTAGTAATTTTGTTACCTCAGTTTTTAGATGCCCCAAAACTGCTGTGGAAATTGATGTTAGAAATGCAATTGAATACACTCTTTTAAAAAAACACTGGTATGCCAAATAGCAAGCATTGAAACTACTCAAGAGAATTAGGTAAATAAACCACTTACAATCATGTACTTTAATGTTCAGACTCCTCTAAAATTCTCAACATTAACAGAAAGCAATTCTGCAAATAATATTAAATACAATTACTATTCCTTTTCAAGTCATATATTCTAAGTATAGTAAATGGCTTCAGTTTTCACATGACTTACTTAATAACTTAGTTTTGATTTTAGATGCTAATGAAGCATTCCATTTTGCAGCTTGTAATGTTCCACCCCTCCTCTTCCTTTGTCCTTTAACAGCATCCGAGGTGAAAATGGTAGATGATTTAGCAGTTGCTTGTTTATCCATCATCAAAATGAACCTGTACATTGTCAAGAAGAATGCCTCAATAATCCATGATCTAACACTTTAATAAGTTCTATTACCTCTTATCAGGATTTGTTATCTCCTAAGTTGAGAAAATTACTTCAGTCTTTACCTTTGTTCAATTAATTTAAACAGGTTAATGAATTCTTCCTTGAGACTTTAAGTCACATTATCACAGTGTGGCAAAATATTTAACTAATAAACATGAAGACTTAAAAGGATCACAGATTTTTTTATCTTGTCCATTCCCTTAAGCAATCTATCCAAGTTTACACTTAAAAGGGAAAACCCCAACATTCTATCACTTCACAATATGACCAGACCAGCTTCTGCTTTGACGGGACAAATTTTAAATCGAAGGATTCGAGCGAACTATATTATAAATGGCATGAACTTAAACAAACAGTGAGTGACCGGCCCGGGAGCGCAGGCAGAGAAGAGGGGCGGGTGTCCCAGCAGCCGCCGCCGCGCCCCGGCCCTCG